CAGCTACTGAAATAGGAAGGGCTCTTAAATGCTCTCAGGGCTACTTGAATACACGTAGATAGTGAGTTGGTGTGATTTCAGGAGCTCTGCTCCTTACATGCTCAGACCCCGTGCAGGCAGTGTCTGTAGCCCAGACATGATGAGCACATCAGAAACCGTCAGCCTGTTCTTCCTCTGCCCATGTCTTTTAAAGAAGTCACTTTATTGCTAGCCAGACTTGAAATAACTTGCAGATCAGCAGCAGGTTTGAAACGAGCTGGTCTGATTGCGGATAAGGTCAGGGGAACTGAGATGCTCAGATGTAAACTGATAATAAATCAGAGCTTTATGGGGACGGGATGGGAGGCTGGATGGGTGACAGAGGGAAGCAGTTGCTGGTGGACCCGTCTCCTCTTGCTTTTGCATAGCCTCTTACCTGCTCTTCTGTCTCTTAAAGTCTCTCTTATATAGCTTTTCAGCGTGGTATGTGAGTGCTTTGTGCCTTCCCCTTGGCATACAGCCACCGTCTGGCTAGCGAGCAAGTACAAACTGTAACACCTGGGTGTCAGCTATGAACATTAGGGTGTGCTACAATGGACCCATCTGTAGTACTTGGCACATGCCGAAGATTTTTATATGTGGTTGGCTGAAAAGCAGGATCCGAGAGAGAGAGGAGGGAGAGCAGGGGAAGAGGGCTCCGCTGGGCACGCGGGGAACATCATTTTGGCAAAGGTGCCAGTAGGTTTCCATGGGCTTGTCTGCTTCTTTGCTCAGCTCATGCATTCAATAAAAATATCCAGGTTGTTTCTAAGAAAAGCAGGAGTAGATTTCCCCAAAGAGCGAGCTTAGAAGCCTCATTCTTTGTCTCTGGAGAACAAATCTAATGCTATAACTAGATTTAATAAGAATACATTGAATAGTAATAGATCTAATAAAACCCTGATTTAATAATAACTAGTTTTATTGTTGTTTCATGTGAACCAGGTCCTGTTGACTGACCCCCTGAGCACCACAGGGTTTCTAGCTGGGTTTGGAGTGGGAAGCACTCGGGTTTTCAGGCTGTGGCACCTTCGACAGTGCTGTGTCCTGGAATGAATTTCAGTCGGGAAGGTATGGACAAGGGCTGCCTTTGGTATTACCACACTGATATCTTGAGTCCAAAGAGTGATGATAGTTTCTAGTTCTACTCAATGGACAGATAAAACATCTCCCTCTCTGAAAATGTCTATGTATCCATGAGAAATCCCAGCAAAGGTAGGGAATTAGTTTACCACAGTAAAAGGAAGTCGTAGCTTATTGCACCAGGTTCACCTAAATGAAAACTGCAGTGCACTGAAAGGAGAGGAAACAATTTTTTTTTTCCCCTTTATGTGGCACTGATGTGTTTTAAAATGCATGGGCAAAGTTTGTAGTTTATTTTCTCCAAAGGGGCCAAGTCCTCCTGGCATTCTTATGAACAAGCTCATTAGAATAAAATCCATTATGCGCATAACTAATGACACAAATTTACAAATCTGTTGACAATTATGACCACATCCCTCATTGCATTTGCTTGTAGCTCGCCGAAGTGACCAGGCGAAGGAGTTCAACCCAGAAGTTTTACAGCTCACGAGCTCCAAGTGCAGCCATGTGAGATTATTTCCCAACTGGATTACAAAGCTGTCATTAGGCAGGGCAACTCGGGAGGACCAGGGCACGAGACCGTAAACTATCCTCGGGAGACTTGAAGTCATTTTGAAGGCACGGCGAGATATTCCTGGCTGCAGAGAGCCATTATTTTTTTTTTTTTTTTTTTTTTTAAGCTAAGGGGGGGAAACACATGCACATGCACACAAACGAGGGCTGTTCCAAGTAGTGCCTGGCGTCCTCTGGAAATGAATAGAAATCAAATTGAGACGCTGGTGTCCTCAGAGTGTTAAATATTTCCAAGTTCTTGCCAGGCGGGTGTAATTTATTGAATGTAGGTTTTGTGAAATAGTGCTCCTGTCAGGGGGAGATTGGCACCAGAGAAATGAAGGCGGCTAATTCTCAGGGGGTCCTCCCTGGCAAAAACCCTCTATTGAGTCCTCATGCTACTTGTGCTCATAACTGCCGAAAAACCAGGAGTGCCATCTGCAAACTGTGATTCATAAACACTCTGTCAGTCTGCCATCTACCCTGACATCATAAAATAACAAGAAGCAGCATTGTAATAAAGAGAGGAGGTTTGCAGTCAACCAATTAAATGCATCTAATTTATTTCTGTTACAGCTGAGGCTTTATTTATTAGTAAACAGCTGCATTTGTTACACTTTTTCTCCCTCCTTTTTTTTTTTTTTTTTTTTTTTTTTTTTTTTTTTCCCCTCTTTACTAGGAGTGTGCCAACTGGCACTTTTGATAATCCATTAATCCTAAATAATCATCTGGGTACTTCATGGTTGATAAGAAAAAAAAAATAGCAAAAAAGGTTATTAAAAGTAAAAATGTAACCTTGCAAGGAGGCTGGAGAGCGCTTCTCTGCCGTGGGTTTGCATGAGTTATGGCAGGCTTAAGTTTTCAGGCCAAGTCCTACGCTCAATTTACACCTGCAAGTAACTGGTGTGTCAGCCAGCTGAAAGGGCTATAAATCCCAGAGCAGGATCTGGCCCTGTGGATATTTTTTTTTAAGGACAGCCTGTTTATGGTACAAGTGGAGCATTTTGTGTGTTTGGTTTACTTGCCTCCTTCTTTCTCAGCGCTAACTTGATTCTCAGCAAAGCTAAAAATCTGCTAATTGGTTGTCAAAGTCTAATTAGCTGATATTACCAAAAAAAAAAAAAAAAAAGAAAAAAAAAAAAAAAGACGATAAGTTTGCCTTTTATAATTGGAGCTGAACCCCCCCTTCCCCTCCCCTTGAGCCCCCTGGTGTGTGTTAATTGAGCTCCAGGACTTTTCAGTGTATTTTAATGCTTTCTCCTTTTCAGTGCCCTGGAAAGCTTTGCAGTTAATGAGACAATAATATGTACAATCAAGTAAAAATGTAGTAAAAAACTAGGCAAAGCCGTATGGAATCGAGCTGGTGTGAAGGTGTGCGGATGCACGGATGGAGGGAGCAGCTCCCCAGCCTCCCTAAAGCAGCATCATATGGTCAATAATGTCCCATAATTTTTAATTTACCTTCCTCGGCATTTCCTTCCCCTTACAAGGGGGAATGCTTTGTTGCTCGAGGATGTATTTTACCAGTTAAGGGAAGAAGGCTGTGCTCTGCACAGGAGTCAAATGAACATGGTGAGGATCCTCAAGAGGCCAAACTAGGTGAAACAGTGGTCTCCACTATATTTTATTTTGTCTGCATATGTGGATACAAATGTAAATACAAAATCTCTGCCGTAGCCAGAAACCAAGCCTACCTTGAAGCCTCTAGGGGCTGTCACACCTCCATCCTCTCCTGTACCACCCTTCCCATAGGACCCCAGTACCTCCCAGTGATGAGTTAAGCACTGTGGAGAGCATCGGTCTCGTACTCCTCCTCTGGGGGAGCAGCGTGTCCCACGTTGTGCCTTGTTTTGGTAGCTCAATTTTAAAGCCTATCTCTTGTTATATATTAAAAAAAAAACAATGTTAAAAAGAAGTGAGCACAGGTGGGTGCTCTATATATGGGTGCTCTTTCAATATGTATAATAATGTTGAGTTTACTTACTCAGTCATGTTTTCTTCTTTCTCCTCCTCCCATCTTCCTCCTCCACACCTGCTTTCAATCAGTCCCCTCTGCCCCGCCTGTCATCCTATCCTCTCGGCTGCTTTTACCACAAACCCACTAACGTTATATTTCAAGTCAAACTTTCAAGCCCACGACATTTAAGCAAGTGAATCAAAAACTCCGGGTGGCTTCACCAGCCTCGCCAGGCAGGGAGCCGGCATGGCCCCAAGGAGCACACAGGGGACACCGGCTGCCGCTCGAGCTGCAGCTGGCCGTGGGGCTTCACCCATCCTAGCAGTTGGAGTCTGTTTTTATCTTTAAATCTGAAAGTGGTTTTCCTTTTGGTTTGGCTTGTTGGGATTTTTTTGGTGTTGTTTTTTTATAGAGTCTCAAATAATGAACATATGAAGGGCAAACGCTGCTAGATGAACAACTTCAGCTGCACGTGTCTTCCTGTCGTACATCACATGCGTTTAGCAGTGCGTACCCTGACTACGACGGGTATCAAGCTGAGAAAAAGAAACAAATGGAAAAGTAGTGAATCAGGATACCTAGAAGATCAGATGTGTATTTATTTATTCTTTTGATTATCAATATAAACCCAGAGACTTTTAAAGTAGGTTATTTTAAATAATACCTGCTTCTTGGTAACCAAACTGGTTGATGGCTGACATACCAGTTCAGCAGTGTATTCAGATCAATGTGGCTTTAAGTATGGGCTTGAAAGCTTCATCCTTGAGCTCATAATTAGTGACGTTAGGATCCTGGTTTTTCCCCCAGTGTTAAGCAATGAGAGTGGGTAACCTGCTGCTCAAAGGCGGAATCGGGAGGGTTGTCTCCATGCCATGGGTTTTGTGGGCGATCTCCCATCACTGCATGTCTCTGGAGCAGATCTGATGGGGTTAGCAAAGATCAGGCACCAATCCTTGAAAGGCTCTTGGTGTTTTTAAGTTTGGCAGACTCCTGTTTACGGATGTCGTGAATGGGGCAATGCAGCAGGGTGGCAGACAGTAACACAAAGCCTTTCTAAAAGGAACAACCTAGGTGAACTTTGTTGTCCCCTGCTGAGCATCTAAAAAATGGGAGTATCAAAAGACTTCCAAGCTGCTGTGGTAAACCTGGCCCTTTGTTACACATGGGCAAAAATGAAGTTGGGTTAAATGCACTTGCCTATTTCACTGTTGCTTCCTGATTTTATCTTATTTGTTTGGATTTCCTGTAAAGAAAATGAGTCAACATGAGCACTGCATCAGCCTGGGCTTGACTGTGGACTTCTGTAACCCTTGAGCAGAGTGTGCAGCAGGCTGATGTCCTGTGTCCCTGGCTGCTTCCTACAGTGTTGTCCCATCTTTTGCCTTTCCAGGTCCTTTCTCCTCTGCGCTCTTTCTTGATCTCGGATCACTTTTGGAAACAGCCTGAAAAGGAGTCCCTGTTCAATGAAATCTCATACAGATTTAGTCTCCTTCAAAGATGCAACTAAAAATTAAGAGCATCCAACTTCTCCAACACAGCACAAATGATTTATCCCATGACAAATGTTCCAAGACTGGTAAGTTTTGATAGTATTCATCATGCTGGGGAAGGGGCTGGTGACTTTCCTTTTTTCTCAACCACAATTAACATTTTTGCTATATGAAGGCAAGCTAACTAATTCTATTTATAGTTTGAATGACTATGATGTTCTTAGACTAATTTTCTCAGATAATAGTCACTTCTTGATTTCATCGAGTTTCAATTACGGTTTTCTTTTGCCATGTTAGCTGCAGTGGAGAAGTGGTGTTAAAAGGGGTTAATAACAAAGGTGAGCCATCAAATGGGGTGGAAAGCATGGAAATTGGTGCAGATTTTGTTGTGGAAACAAATTTTTAAAATCCCCAAGCCCTGACAACCACTATTCTCAGATGTTGCTGGCAGCCTTCTCCATTTAATAGGAACCTGTTGTTTCTGAAAGTCAGTTGGCAACTTAATAAGAAGGCAAGAAACAGAAAAAATGCTCCTGTGGTGTCCGGGCTGGAAATGCCACTTCTGTATACTGTCATCAGTAGGCTGACTGACAGCAATGAAAGCTGATTAATGTTATTCTCTTGCTTTTGCAACATACTCGGATAAAAACTTGTCTCTGCTTCTGCCTTTGTCAGGTCAACCGTTGTGCTGCCAGATATGTTTTTAAAAACAAGGACGGTTCTGATAGAAAAGGATGAAGTGGATAGGACTGGGTAAATCATTGCTACTCCTCTTCTAAGAAGACCAGTTTTTCAATTTTTCAGCAGCCTCAATTTTCTGGGGCCACTCCTTTGTAAATGTGAAAATTTCCCCAGCCCTTGGGTGATGTGGTGGAGCTCTTCATAAATAAACCTAACAGAGCCAGCACCTCTGTTGCGGAGGTAACAGAATCACTATTGGCTTAAAACACAGTGTTTGCTCTTAATGCTTAGTTCATTAACACATTCTGTCCATTGGCTCATTTGGATCTATTAACATAATTGTTCTTTCTAAACAACTGGGTCATTCTCTCTCCCCAAACAGAAAATCAAAGCTGGCTTAAATGTTTTGGACAAATCATGCAGCCAGATATATACACGTGCTCCTCTATAAACTCGCTCAGGCTGAGATTAGATAAAAATGTGATTCCACTTAGCATCAGCCTTGAAGTGAGACTCACCATGGGGCATATTTGAAAACAAACGAGATAGATAGCTCTGCAGCTTTTTCTGTTGTAAATGTCCTATCTGCCTCTCAAACCTAAAGCAAAAATATTTTCCCAAGCTATTTTGATAAAATTCTTCTCCTTCTCTCAAACTGAAGGGCTGCCTTTTATCCTATTCTCTCTTTCTGGTCTAGGATGTAATAAGGATTATTCCCCATTTTAATTTCTCTCTCGTTGGTTTCCCCTTTTACTCACTTCATTTTTTTAGGTGACATTGTTCTACTCGCCAAACCTGTAACTTTAACAGAGGGTGACAGGGTGACCTTGACGACAGATGTTCCTGTGGCAACAGATGGCACTAGCAAACCCGAGAAGCTGCTGTATGCCGTCTCCCTGCCACCTGTGCCTGGTCAGATTGAGTACATCAATTATCCCGGCGTGCCCATTTCCAGTTACATCCAGTTGGATGTGGTGGCCCAGAAGGTCTCCGACGTCCACGACAATAGCCATGGGGCCGGTAAGGAGTCACTCAGGTGAGAAGACCTCCCCTTTGCACACCAATGTGCTGAAAAGCCCCCAGCCAGCAAAGGGTTAAGCTCGCCTCTCCTTCTCCCCGTACCAGTCGGTGCAATATTTAATGACTGATGTGATCATGGGGAAGAGACTGCTGCAAACAGTAACACAATGTAATTTTATCATTAGTGTGATTACATACTTTATTAACTGTAAGAGTGAAGCTGTATGGCCAAAGGCAATAGGAGTCTCGCAGGCTTAATATTGGGGTGTACCCGGGTAGGCTTTCGTGATCAATTAGCAAGTGAAATCAAATGATTTAGGGACATATAAAGAGTTTACCACATTTCTCAAGGTTGCCAGTGGTGGGAAAGGAAAAGCAAAAATTCCCCATCTGAGACTGTTGTTGCTTTCTGGGCAGTTCGTTCTCCTGAAGGGGAAAAAAGAAATAATAATCGTAACATTGTCTGAAATGATCAGGAGAACTTAATCCAGATGGTGGTGTCATTTCTAAGAAAAAGCATATGTTGGCCATTATGATACTTAAATATAATGGTTTTACATTCCTCTAGTGGGCACAAAAGGCACACAACAGAGTTGGCGGGGTTTTTTAATCTTCTGAATGGTGGCAGTGGTGGTGGAGTGGTGGGAGATTTTATCTTCCAAATGGTGCGTTTCCCAGAAGATATGGCAAATTCAATTGAGGAGAGCCTGCTGTAAAAGCCATGCTCCCGTGGAATGTAAATTTGTGCCTTCCTCTAACCAGTAAGAGTGGAGAGGCTTAATTTACTGCCCCCTTTGGATTATCATCATTTTATATATATTCTTCTGGCTTTTGCGTTTTTCTTTTTTTTTTTTTTTGCCTAACATGTTTTTCTTTCTGATTTGCTTTAAAAGTTATTTACACTCCCTTTGCAGCAAAGTGGGCACTATAACTAATTTTATTCTTACCATGATTAACTATGAATAATTTCCTAAGAAATGAGTCAAATTAACAAGGGGAAGAAGGAATCGATAAATCATGAATGCGGCCTATTTCTAAGTGGGGTTAAAACCACCATTAAATAAATCACGGACTCTAAATGATGACCCGCTTGGATATGGAGGGGGGGGGGGGGGGAAATGTCTATTTAAATTGCAGCAAAAGGAAAAAGTGTGGGCCAGCATCTGTGCCCCCCCACCACGCTGTGCAAGGAGGGGGGGCACAGGAGAGGGAAGAAGCTTCGGGGAGGGACCCCAGGACAAGGCAGAGAGGAAAGATGCGGTTTCCCTGCGTTGGTTGCTACAGCCCAGCTGCGGGGAGTCAGCCAAGCAGGGACCAGGAAACCTCTGGCTTTTGGACATGGAGGCATAAATGTTGCTTAATAGCACCTTCTGCCTCCATCCCTGCTCTGCACAGGAGCTCAGGAATGCAGGGGCTGACCCAACCTCACTTGAAATACCTGAAATGTTTTCAATCTGCTTTGATTTTATTTTTTCTTATTGGCTTTCATAGGGTTAGTCACAATTTAAACTACTTGGAGACAATTTCAGAATCTGGCCCACCATGTTTCTTAGCTGGTTTACGTTATAGCCTTTTAGTCTTGCATTAAGGATCATACTTTGCCTGACAGTACGCTGAGTGCAGTAATGTTACCTTTACCTAGGGCTAGATTTTCATCTTTCTTGTTCTCTGAGACTTATAAATCTAAATTTTACACAAGGAATACCATCGCTTTTGCAGGAGAGTGGCTCATCCATCTTTACATCAGTATGTAAGACATCTTTAAACTGTAGAAAATTAGGCAGACTTTCCTCCTATAGTTTTATATGGCAAAGAAGGGGTCAAAATGTTTATTCCTTAGTTAAAAGAAAAAAAAAAAAAAAAAAAAAAAGAAGAAGAAGGGAGAAGCAAATCTAACTGTAACCTCCCATTTGCAATTCTTTTTATGACCTTTTCTCCTCCCTGAACACATGTATGAAATGGCACCAGCTCCCTGCTTGCTGGGAAGGGGTACCTATTACCTTGAGTTACGGGCCAAAGATTGTCAGCTGGTTTAAATAAGTATATCTCCATTTGCTGAAATGATGCCATAACCATTTAAACTGTGGCTTATAAAGTTAGTTCATAAAGTTGCTGAGAGGGTCTCTTTCCTAACGTGCTTTGTGGTCATGGGAGCTCATCTTTTTTTTGTGGGGCCGGGGAGTAAGTATCCTGTCGATTCAAGGTGATGTGGTGTCTCAGGACCTGTTTGTCCTCTATTCCCTTTTGCCCATCTGGCTGCTTTGGGCAGGATTTGGTGCAGGTCCTCTAGCAAAGCTATGCACGAGGGTCACAAGGCACAGCAGTCGCTCCCTGCCCAAAGCACCCCTGACCGTTGGCGAGAGCAGGCACTTCAGGGCTTCCTCCAAAAATGAACGTGAACCAGCGAAGCCTCATGCCTTCATCCCTCCCTCCGAGCTGGCACTGAACCAGGGGAAACACACGAGCATCTTCACCCTGGTGTCCTCCGTGATGGCCTCAGCAGGTCAGTCATGCTCATCTAGTGCTCCCGCACTGGTTTTTAATCTTGGTCTTGCTCTTTAATAACAGATGCTGCTGAACAGAGTAGTGCTTACAGAACAACCAAGAATGAAGCCTGTTTTTTCCTAAGCGCTATATAAACACAGCTGAGTACATGTCCCCAAGGCAGAGGGACATGTGCATGGAGGACTGGACCCATGCGATGGCCACAGAGCTCATCTCTGTCTCCCACTGCTTGTGGGGGACAGAGGGACAGGGGACATGGAGGATGGGCAGGGAGAAGAGGAGCAGCAGTGGGGCCCATGGGGAATGAGCTGGAGGTCCAAGGAAGGGATTGCAAAGGGCAGAACTGGAGCGGATGAGCCAGTTGTCACTGGAGGGTGGCATCTCCGCCTCCTTTCTCTTTACACTTCCTTCCAAAATATGTATTTATGGGCAGGTATGGGACTGCCTGGCCCAGGGACATCAGTGGTCAAGTTGTCTCTGAGGGACTTGCAACCTTGGCCTCTCTCAAATATGAGGGAGATGTCTGTGAAAGGGAGGGTGTAGGAGGAAGCCAAAGGAGAGGGCACCCGCTGCTGGCCTCCACCACGGGGATGTCAAGTGTGTCCAGCAGCAATGAGGGGAAGGGCTAAGGTTGAGGGGGAAACGCGGGGGACTTGTCTTTCAGACATGAAGGAGTTAAAACACGGGGATTAAAAAAAAAAAAAAAAATCCTTAAAAAAAAACCCCACACTCACACACTCTCACAAAACCCTGCACCCTAAATTAATTTCTGCTGGTAATCTATATCGGGTTAAATAACGCCTCATTATTCTGCAACACAGCTGAGGCTTCTCAAAATGTTTATCTTGTTTTGTAACTGGTACCTTCTGGCATATTCCAGTGCCAACTCTCCTAGCTCTTGCTATATTTCATTCTCACTATTTTTGGAATGGAGCTGCTGGTTCCAGGTGATTTAATAAATTGCTTTTTTTTGTGTTCCTTTTAACTTACCCATCTGCTCAACACATGCGTAACTTGCAATCTGTCGGCAGTTTGCAGAAAGACAAACTGTCAGAGCTGCATGCATTTGACAACTTTGTTCCCAATTAGATTAGTGGTAATTTTAACAGATTTCAGGGCAATCGAAAAAAGGGATGACATGTTATTAAAGCATCAATTTTGACAGACCCAAGCACATACAATTTCAGTGTAAATTATTTTAAATGCTTTAATTAAAGCTATGAAAGATTTACCCTTTTAAGCGGTAAGTGATTGCAAGACAAATATAAAGGGAAAGTGGATAACAGAGTTTCCTAAATGGTTTATGCTGCGCATGGCAGTCCACAAGTCACCACCACCATAATCTATGACTGTAATGTTGGAGGCATAGTTAATTATTCATAGCCTCATCTCTGGAGCAGACGTGATTAAGAACATGAAGAGCATTCAGAGATCTAAGCAGTACCTACGAAAATCAGAGTTCAAGCCCCTCTTAGATCAGATGCTGTTAGGAAATAGTTTAGGGGTATCTCACATAGTGGATATTTTTATAAATGTGCTTTCATTTTTGCCCCAGTTCTGCTCTGGTTTAGATGGCCAAAGCCCAGTGGTCAGGGTGATTGTAGATTTAGAGCAATTGGGGATTTTCTGTACTTGAAGGCACATTACAGGCTCTACAAACCCTGAAAAGGAAAAAAAAAAAAAAAAAAAAAGAAGGAAAAATAGAAAAAATACAACATTCATTATTTAAACAGAATACAGCATTCTAAATTCATCACTCTAGGAGCACTCTGCCACATGTGTAGCCCATTTAACCATTTAAATGATTTTGTGAATTATGGCCCTCTTCCAGCAACCTTTGTTCAGGCGAGGCTGACCTTGGCTTCGTGGCGAGAGGGCTGGGCTTGGCCCTTCTTCCCCAGCCCTTGGGTCCCAGCTGGAGGACCATCGGCTTCCCTGCAGTCACACCTTCACTGTGCACTCAAACATTGGTCTGAATTGGAGCTGAAACCTTCCAGGATGATTGCTCCAAGGGTTTTGTTTATTTTAAGTGTGGCTGACTGTGCAATGCAGAGCTGTCTCATTTTCAGACTGTTAAATGTGCATATTGCTTTAGTGTATAAACTATTGGTCCCACAACCTGCACTGAAAGTTTATTTCCTTTTTAATTCAGGGACTGTAGGACTTCCTGATGCTATTTAGAGTAAAAAACAACAAGCACACTGTTCCCACCCTTCCCTGTTTCTTAAAACCAAGCTTGTATGCATCTGTTTTGGGTTTTTCTTATTTCCTTTGGGGATGGGTATGACTTGGTATGACTTTCTGAAAAGCTTAAAAGTTTTTCTTTGGAGGTTTCTGACCCAAAGCATTGCAGTACCAAAATGCAGTGGAAGTGAGGGAAGCTGGTCAGAGCCTGCGGTCTTGTGCCCTTTCCAGCTATTTGACTGCTGGAATTTGCAATGATTTGTAACTGGCACAACAAGTCCCAAATAAGATGAAATCTTAATGGAAATGTG